AATGGAGGGTGCAAGGGTCATGTTATCAGGAGATCAGAGAGTCAGAGTAATTATCATCTAGGTGTAAACTTGCATGTATTTGTTCTTGTAAGCCATCCTGTCTCTAAAGCAGTGTTGGCTTGTCCCAAACCTACGCAGAAACGCACCCTAACTGGTCACTACTTAGAAAATGTTCTAGTATATATGGGGGAAAGAGATAAAAAGAAAAAACTTGTATGAAGACAGAACAGTTCTATAAAAAGGGGGTTGGATGAAGATAAACCACTTTTTCTGAGGTACAAGGGATTCAGGCATATCTAGTTAAGGACTGCAAGAATCAGTCTTGAGAAGGAAAACAGCCAAGGAGTTCAGTCTTGGGGAAAAGAGTGCAGAAAGCGTAAGTACCATGGTGAACTGAGACATGCTGTCCAAAGATGAAGGTGCAAGGGGAAGATCTTCATTAAAATGTTATAAATGTTGCCCTTTTCTGTGTATCTATTGGTTCTGGGCTGGGTGTGTTTTTTTTTTAATGTGTACCAGTGGTGTATCCTGGTTTTGTGCTGCCCTAGGCAGGACAAAACTCAGGCGCCCCCCTCCCCCCGCGCCACCCCCACCCAACCTTCTGAATACACTCACACAGTCAGACACAAACACACACACACAGTCAGACACACACACACACACACACACAAACACACACACAGTCAGACACAAACACAGTCAGACACAGTCAGACACACACACACACATACACAGTCAGACACGCACACACACTCACAAACACACAAACACACACAGTCAGACACACACACAGTCAGACACAAACACACACACAGTCACACACACACAGTCAGACACAAACACAGACAGACACAAACACAGTCAGACACAAACACACACACAGACAAACACACACACAGTCACAAACACAGTCAGACACATACACACACACACAGTCAGACACAAACACAGTCACAAACACACAGTCACACACACACAAACACAGTCAGACACAAACACACACACACACATTAACTTTTTTTTAAATTTAAATCCCCCCCAACCTCCTTACCTTTGGGAGTGCTGGTGGTCCGGTGGCTGCAGGTCAGGCGGGCGGCTGGCAAGGGAGCACTTCCTATGAGCTGACTGCTCAGCTCCCTCGCGCGCCGGCTGCAGATTGAGGCTGGGAGCCGGAAGATGACGTCATCTTCCGGCTCCCAGCCTCACTCTGCGGCGCGCGAGGGAGCTGAGCAGAGAGCTCATAGGAAGTGCTCCCTCGCCAGCCGCCTGCCTGGGATGTCAGTTAGCCGCGAGGCTAACTAGGCATTTGCCCTGGGCATTTGGGGGGCGGCGTTTTTTGCCGCCCCCTGAAAAATGCCGCCCAAGGCAAATGCCTTGTTTGCCTCGCGGCTAATACGCCCCTGATGTGTACTGTATATATTTTTTTAGAATCTGTAAAAGTAACCTAAATCAGTATTAATAATAAATGTTTCTATACACTTGCATGTGTGTCTTATTTGTCACATATTCTCTAAAGAATAACCTTGTAAGAGGGTCAAAATGTATTACCCCTTTAACCAACACCGTAACAAATAGCAAACAAGAACACACAATGGGTAGAGCAATAACATATACTTCCTTTTACTTGACAGTATAACAGTCTGCAAGAATAAAAAAGAGGAAATTATACTGCAGATAATTTCTAAAAGTGCAAAGTGATAAAGTGAAATGGGTTATACACACTCACAAAAATACAGTTCACAATTTTTTCAAGGTAAAGTGGAATAAAACAAGATTATAAAACACATAAACATAAAAACAATCAAAAATACTAGTATACGTTAGTGATGAAATCCAATATCCAAAATACGTTTCGCCAAGTGCAAACTTTCTCAGTTGGTGGATTGTGTAATTGTTTCCTTGTAGCATATTTTATTTGCTTCTAATTAGATAATTAATTAAATCCCCAGGTCAGTTGGTGGCTTGTGGAGCACAAATTGCTTTCCACTTGTTGGTGATGCTTACTGTCCATGCCACTTCCTTTTCGGCTTCTTACATTCATGGAACGCACCTTGTGTTCCACCGAGTCCTCCTTCGCATCATTTCCTCATATATGAATATTGCTTTATGACTCCTTCCTCTGAACAGCTTTGTTCCTGAAATGGACCATGCATTCCAGCTGTTTAACAGAAGGTCCATTTTCCAGGACGCAATTTGCTTTTTATGTAGACCAAGATCAATATACCAAGGACAAAAAATAGTTCATACATTTATATAGAAAATTATTAAACATACAAATTAAAAACATAATTTACAGTTAAGAGATTTGTTTAGATTTCATTAAACTTAATTAAAGAAATGAATGGATGTGGTCAGTGTATCAAAAGTATTGTGCAACATATAAAACCCAAACAATAAAGGTGAGAGTGTTCTATTACTATGAGCAAGTACAGTCTTTCTTTCTAAAAGGTTCTTATGCATTTATAAATCTCTAAAAACATGCCCTACTTAATACTATATATGTTATATACTTAAAATATATTTACTCAATTTAAAAGTTTAATATCAATATAATAAAAAAAGGGACCTTTTAAGAAACTGCTAAAAATGGATGACGTAGTTTTAAAAATGGCAGAGTTCAAACTCTTGGTTTAGACCATATGGAATTAACATGTTAAAAATATAAATAAATGTAATTTCTTCTATACCAATTTTTTTTTAAATTTAATTAAAATCTTCTCCTCTCCAGTCAGTTCTAACTAATTTCAAGGCACAGAAGAAGAGGCATTGGGGGGTTTGATTATGACATATTTTAAAATAATGGGAGACACTATGTGTTTCCACACCTTTATTTATTTTTCTAATATGTTACAAAATTATTGTGTGTAAACATCTATTAGTTATCCCAACATGAAACTAAATGACAGGGATATTTTAAAATATAAATCAAATTTTTTTGAAAAACAGGTCAGTTGGCCCCTAATTTTAAAATCCTTATTAACATTATACTATTTTGCATGTATTTTTTTTTTCCGTTTCTCTGCATGGTAGACATGATGCACAACAAAAAACATTTCACTTTTGCTTCAAAAAGGTTTTTTGAGTTCATCGCTTAAACGGCTTTTTACTAAAATATTTTTTATATATTTTACAGCCTCTATATACTCTCCCTGGTCATGCTGGTATGAGGTGTTTCAGAATAGGACCATCTTTCAAAATGTGCCAATGTTGTCTAATCACTTGACGTAATTTTCTATTTTTGTCACTGTAGTTGCAAATAAACAGTATGTCTACTCTTCCTACATTGTTATTATTTTCTTTCATTCTTTTCTCTGAATATTTCTAACCTATTCCATCATGTTTGGAATCAGTGGTTCTGGTGGCTATAACATGGCCCTGCAGGCTTTTCAAAGGTAACATGAGGAGATGCTGATTGGCGCATGGGCCGTGAGGGGGGCCGTGACCTAAATAGCCACTCCAGCACTATAGTGTTATGTATACATATTTTGTATTTTAAACACTATACTGTTGCTTTAACGGTGAAATGTGGTTGTATTATTCAAAATGGGCTGTGATAGGATGACCCTTAAATTTTGCACTTATGTTTACTTTATATTTTGAAAATCTATTTATTCTCTTAATAGTTTCATCTATGTATAGGAGACTATATTGGAAAATACATTTCACAAAATGTGTGTTGCAATCAAAAAATCCATTCAGAGTATATTTCTTGACAGTGTGGGAGTTATAAAAAATGTCCCTACGTGTATTGAAATTGCAACAAAGGTAATTAAGGCGCAGATAACTGCTATTTTTAACTGCCCCGAAAAATATATTTTGAGATTTTTTTTTTTTTTTTTCATGAGCAAGATCTGCTACAACCAATTAGTCTCACAAACTTGGTGACTTTTTATAGACCGGACGGGAACAAGCATTAAATTCACTTATCTCAGGATCGGAGTCTTTTAGAATAACCCAATGGCTGTGAATTATATGGTGTTCATTGGATGATTGCATACTACAGCACGTAATTAACTTAGCTGAAATTTGTATTTTAGTATAATATAACAATGTTTTTTTTTCCAACTTAGAAATTTTCTATGCATTAATTTGAAGAATTAAATCAGGACCACTGTCAGGCGGCATAAAATACATTTTGGAGATGGTATGCTCTTCCAAGTAAGCCATAAAAATGCTGAAATATGTGGGCTCCATATTGGAGCCCATCGAAGTTCCCCTGATTTGTATATAGAAATTGTTCATACATGAATTTAATAATGGTTACATTTGTTTATTTATGTTCGATGCTGTGATTCTGTGAACAGAATTTTTTACTATGAATTGGGAGTCAAACTCACGATCCTCACTAAATGGTATCAACCTCTTCTGCACAGTCTGAATATGATGATGCTTATACAGATCCTGACATTTGCACCATGGCAGGGTGCAAGTCTTTGGATGTACCCCTTATTCTACCTTTTGTTGATAAAAGCAAAACCAAGAATACTTTCTGGCATTACCAATATTTTACAATACTTATCATAACTATTCTCGTTTACCCGCTTTTGAAAATTCTAGGTTTATATGATTGTTTTATGTTATATTATTATTTATGTTATAATCAAAACTAAACTTATTTTGTACTGATAGTCGAATTTAGAAGACAGAAGTCTGTACATACCACAATAAATAAATGATTGATTTGATTTATTGTATACAGATACATAGAGGGACAGTACAAATATATACAAGGACAGTACAAACAACTTTTTATGTTCATTAACAGGACTGTACAAATAACAAATAGTTACTGAGACTTAATGAAAGGAAACTTTGTGAAAGGTTGATCTTAATGGACACAAACTTTATTGCAATGTATATGACTATTTAACTGGGTAAGCTGTATGCCTAACAAAGGTAATGTATAATAATTTTAAAAAAAAACTTACAAACTAACAAACATTTCCTCCCCTTGCAGCATACAATTTTACATTCGGTTACTCCTGTATATATTTATGTACTCACTCTAATATATTTAGAAGTCCAGCACAAAAGAGTATGATGAAGCAACCAGCAGTTAAATGTCTGGCGCTGCTATGTTCATTTGATCTTGTAGTTTGTGATGTCTCACCACCTGGGTTTTGGGTTGCAGAATGACTCCCATTACCAATACCACCATTAGCAGCAGTCTCAGAGCCATTGCCATTATAAACAGTACTACCATACTCTGAATTAAGATGGGCACTGCTATTGCCAGACCCATAGTGATCTGATGAGTTGGGGGGCATATTGTAGAGACTGGGACCATTCCCATAATTGGCTGTGTCACTGCCATTGCCAGACCCAGAGTGATCTGATGAGCCGTTGGGATTGTTATAGTGACTGGAACTATTCCCATAGTTGGCTGTGGCACTGCCATTGCCAGACCCATAATGATCTGATGAGTGACTGGGACCATTCCCATAGTTGGCTGTGGCACTGCCATTGCCAGACCCAGAGTGATCTGATGAGTTGGGGGGCATGTTATAGTGACTGGAACCATTCCAATAATTGGCTGTGGCACTGCCATTGCCAGACCCAGAGTGATCTGATGAGTTGGGGGGCATGTTATAGTGACTGGAACCATTCCCATAATTGGCTGTGGCACTGCCATTGCCAGACCCATAATGATCTGATGAGTGACTGGGACCATTCCCATAGTTTGCTGTGGCACTGCCATTGCCAGACCCAGAGTGATCTGATGAGTTGGGGGGCATGTTATAGTGACTGGAACCATTCCCATAATTGGCTGTGGCACTGCCATTGCCAGACCCAGAGTGATCTGATGAGTTGGGGGGCATGTTATAGTGACTGGAACCATTCCCATAATTGGCTGTGGCACTGCCATTGCCAGACCCAGAGTGATCTGATGAGCCGGGGGTAATGTTATAGTGACTGGAACCATTCCCATAGTTGGCTGTGGCACTGCCATTGCCAGACCCATAATGGTCTGATGAGTTGGGGGCCATGTTATAGAGACCGGGGGCATTCCCATAACTGGCTGTGTCACTGCCATTGCCAGACCCAGAGTGATCTGATGATCCGGGGGTAATGTTATAGTGACTGGAACCATTCCCATAATTGGCTGTGGCACTGCCATTGCCAGACCCATAATGATCTGATGAGCCGGGGGTAATGTTATAGTGACTGGAACCATTCCCATAATTGGCTGTGGCACTGCCATTGCCAAACCCAGAGTGATCTGATGAGCCGGGGGTAATGTTATAGTGACTGGAACCATTCCCATAATTGGCTGTGGCACTGCCATTGCCAGACCCATAATGATCTGATGAGCCGGGGGTAATGTTATAGTGACTGGAACCATTCCCATAATTGGCTGTGGCACTGCCATTGCCAAACCCAGAGTGATCTGATGAGCCGGGGGTAATGTTATAGTTACTGGAACCATTCCCATAATTGGCTGTGGCACTGCCATTGCCAGACCCAGAGTGATCTGATGAGTTGGGGGGCATGTTATAGTGACTGGAACCATTCACATAATTGGCTGTGGCACTGCCATTGCCAGACCCAGAGTGATCTGATGAGCCGGGGGTAATGTTATAGTGACTGGAACCATTCCCATAGTTGGCTGTGGCACTGCCATTGCCAGACCCATAATGGTCTGATGAGTTGGGGGCCATGTTATAGAGACCGGGGGCATTCCCATAAATGGCTGTGTCACTGCCATTGCCAGACCCAGAGTGATTTGATGAGCCGGGGGTAATGTTATAGTGACTGGAACCATTCCCATAATTGGCTGTGGCACTGCCATTGCCAGACCCATAATGATCTGATGAGCCGGGGGTAATGTTATAGTGACTGGAACCATTCCCATAATTGGCTGTGGCACTGCCATTGCCAAACCCAGAGTGATCTGATGAGCCGGGGGTAATGTTATAGTGACTGGAACCATTCCCATAGTTGGCTGTGGCACTGCCATTGCCAGACCCAGAGTGATCTGATGAGCCGGGGGTAATGTTATAGTTACTGGAACCATTCCCATAGTTGACTGTGGCACTACTATTGCCAGACCCATAATGATCTGATGAGCCGGGGGTAATGTTATAGTGACTGGAACCATTCCTATAATTGGCTGTGGCACTGCCATTGCCAAACCCAGAGTGATCTGATGAGCCGGGGTTAATGTTATAGTGACTGGAACCATTCCCATAAATGGTTGTGTTACTACCATTGCCAGACCCAGAGTGATCTGATGAGTTGGGGGGCATGTTATAGTGACTGGAACCATTCCCATAATTGGTTGTGGCACTGCAATTGCCAGACCCAGAGTGATCTGATGAGCCGGGGGTAATGTTATAGTGACTGGAACCATTCCCATAATTGGTTGTGGCACTACTATTGCCAGACCCATAATGATCTGATGAGCTGGGGGCCATGTTATAGTGACTGGAACCATTCCCATAATTGGTTGTGGCACTGCCGTTGCCAGACCCAGAGTGATTTGATGAGCCGGGGGTTATGTTATAGTGACTGGAACCATTCCCATAATTTGTTGTGTTACTGCCATTGCCAGACCCAGAGTGATCAGATGAGCCATGAGGAATGTTATAGTGACTGGAACCATTCCCATAGTTGGCTGTGGCACTGCTATTGCCAGACCAATAATGATCTGATGAGTTGGGGGGCATGTTATAGTGACTGGAACCATTCCCATAATTGGTTGTGGAACTGCCATTGCCAGACCAATAATGATCTGATGAGTTGGGGGGCATGTTATAGTGACTGGAACCATTCCCATAATTGGTTGTGGAACTGCCATTGCCAGACCAATAATGATCTGATGAGTTGGGTGGCATATTGTAGAGACTGGGACCATTCCCATAATTGGTTGTGGCACTGCCATTGCCAGACCCCGAGTGATCTGATGAGCCGGGGGTATTGTTATAGTGACTGGAACCATTCCAATAATTGGCTGCGGCACTGCCATTTCCAGACACATAATGATCTGATGAGTTGGGGGGCATGTTATAGAGACTGGGAGCATTCCCATCATTGTTTGTGGCACTGCCATTGCCAGACCCAGAGTGACCTGATGAGCTGGGGGGCATGTTATAGATATAGCTTGTAGCATTGCCATGCCCTTTCTTGATGTATCCAGTGGATGATCCTCCTTTTACAAAGCCATTCTTGTGACCTAGAAAAGCCAGACTTAGGTTAAACATATTATGCCAAAGTGGACAAATTAATTTAAAATGTTCCCTTTATCAATTTCCAAATCTAAACTGCTAGAGACTCATAAATTACGGATGACTTACACTTGGGGTGGCAGAAAACCCAGAATAAATTAAAAAAAGATTTAATGAGGAATAGTAAAAGGGGTGGATATGGAATTCCAAGTACACATACTATGAACCAAGTAATATATCACATGCACACAAATGGCAAGACCCCACATCTAAGACCGACACATGGTATAGAATAGAAGCACAATTGGTTAACTGCAATGACATGTCAACAATTCTCTGGCTAAAAAGTTCAAAATATGAAAATCTGTTAAAAAGTACAGCTGTTATTAAAAACATATTATATGAGTGAAGGAAATTCAGGAAAAAATACAGGATCCTAGGTAAAGTTCCTGGATTGTGCCCAGTAAGAATTTTAGAGATTAAAATTGATGAATTAGCCTTGAGAAACTGGAACTTTGGTAACCAAGTCTTGGTAGATGGCTCTTCTAGCTAAAGAGTGCTTCACTTATTTAAGAATAAAAGAATCAATTATATCTCACCATATGATTGAAGTAGACAAGAACTCAGGGGATGGGATGCGGACGTGACGCTGTAAGCATGCACGCCGCGTTGATGAGCTTATTTGTTGGCACCTTTTTAAAGAAAAATTACTATGCGCAGCAAGACAAAGTACAATAAAAGAAGGGAAATGTAAAGATATAAAAATATTTCCAGACTTGTCCTTCCAGACAAGAAAACAAGAAAACAATTCCTGCCAGCAATTGCAATTCGGAGGAAAAAATAATATAAAATATAGATGGGGGTTCCCAACTAGGTTAATAGTAATGATGGAGGGGAAGACTGAATATTATGATTCAGTGGATGAAATAATGAAATGGTTAAAACAGGGGTCAGATAACTGAAAAAGGGAGAGAACTGGGAAGGAAGACTGGGTGGGGGGGGTGGCAAGAAAAGGAATAAAAAGGCATACTGTTAAGAGGGATGCACAATAGAAGTTTGGAAATAAAAATAAATAGGATTTGATTAAAAAAAGGTGCAAATTGGTTAAAAAAATAGTAAGAAGAGAGCACTCAACATATAGTATGACGGTGATAGAAATAAGTAGATTTATAGAACTATAATAATTGAAGATATATATATATAACAAATAAAGGATTCTCTACAAGATGATACATACAGAATATGGTTTATGTACTTGGCACTATTAATAAAATAATGGATTGTTAAAAATATTAATAAGAAAGCACAAAGCACATAAATAGATTTATTACATGAAAAGAAATTAAGGAAATATTCAACACATATAAAAGATCCTCACATAAACATGAGACAGATTGGGAGTATGGTTTATATATTTATAGCGAACTATTAATAAAATAACAGTCAATAGAAGATAATAAAATAAGGCACTGGAGTAGAGATTAGGGAGAAGTATAATGATGTTTTATTTATTATATTTGTACATATATTATTTATTATTGGGTTTTTTTTATATTAAGATGTTTGGAAGTTAAGGAGGAAAAAGCAGGGGGAAAAAGTGAAAAGGAAGGGGGGGTGCAATATAAGCTGATAATGATAGTTAATATGGTATACAAAAAAATTGCATTGCAGAGGCCACGAGACAGAAACTTACATATTCACAACCAAAGGTTGTCATGCAAAAAAGGTTTATATTTTTTTGTATTAATCTCTATTATAATTATTAAAGTAGATAGAAGAACAAAAGAATTCTACATGAAGGGACACTGATAGTTTGTACTAAATACATCATCACTTAGGATTGCAGCACGGTTATGAGACCGTACTGAATCTGCATAGGATAGAAGTGAGATGGATTTTTTTTTTCTTTCTTTTCTCCTTACCCTACTCTCCCTCCTCCATCTAGATTTTACTCTTCATAAACAGGAGGGGAAAAGTAAAGGCTCAGCATTTTTAGCTTTATCCAGTATTTACATGGATGGAACTTTAGACCCGTGGTCAGTGTAGTGACGTACTAAGGGGAGGTTGGGGGGGGAGGTCCGCCCCAGGTGCCACTCGGTAAGGGGGTGCCACCAGAGCTGGCTTTGGGGAGGTGTGAGCTGTGTGGCTGCACAGGGCGCCATGTCAGCAGGGGTGCCGGTAAGCCGACACAGCTCACACATGCAAGGGCCGGAAGCAGGAGAACTTCTCGGAAAGCTAAAGGCTGCCACCACCCACTGCTGCTACTGCTGCACACAGAGGGGAAGCAGGAAGGAGTCCCTGCTTCCCCAACAACCACACACCAGGGACTTCAGTGACTCCACTCCTCCTCCACTAAGTGAGAGAGAGTGTGTGGTGTGTGTGTGTGTAATTGTGTCTATCTCGCCAACATTACACACAAATGCACCCCTGCATTTTAACCCCAACACTTCATACAAACCCCACCATTATATATAACCACACCACTGCATTCAAAAACCATACTACACACAAATGGATGTTTGCATTCAAATGCCAACACTACATACAAACACACCCCTACATTCACTCACACATACTCCATAACAAAACAAGATAACATTCAACCACATAAACGCAGCTCAGTGCTAAATACATTTAAATAAAATTTTGTTTTTATTTTTTTTTATTTTAAAGTGTGTGTGTGAGGGGAGAGGGGCAAAAATAGAACCTGCTCCAGGTGCCAAATGCTCTAGGTACACTCCTAGGTCAGGGTTTTTCTCACGGGGTTTGATCTCTGGGATGGGTGTCCAGAGTCAAATATAATTATTTCATTTTATGTTATGTATTAGTATCTATGTTATTAATGTTGTTAATATGGAAGACTAAGGTGAGACATGGAACGCAAGGAATCTGAATAAACAGCGGGTCTTTGAATATGGTTAAATTCATTTCTATAAATGTTTAGGGACTCAATTCACCTAATAAACAAGCTATAGCATTTGATTATATTAAGAGAGAGGAGGCACAGATTTTTCTAAAGGAAATGCATTGGAGGAAAGCAGATCGTTCAAGATTTATTCCCAGTAGGTTCCCTGTAGTGGTATGTGCATCTCTAGAAAAGAAAAGGAAAAGAGGAGTAGCCACTTTGATACGTGAGGATATAGAGGTAAAGATGAAGTACCAAGAAGCAGATGATGACACAAGAGTTTTCATACTTATAGTCGAGATACAGAATAAATTGTTTACGATAAAAATTTAGATAGGAAAACTGTCCGAGGGAGGGAAAAAAAAGGTATTATTTCTAAATGAGCTAATTTTCAGCACATTATCAGAAAATTTGGCTTATTGGAGCTTTGGCGTATATTTCATCCTGGGGAAAGGGATTTTACGTGTTTCTCAAGATCTTATTTTTCATCTTCGAGGATTGATCTATTTCTGGGAAATGAGACTATAGGAAATAGGAAAAAATAGAGTATTGATTGATGAAATAACATGGTCAGACCACAATGCTTTAATTATGAATCTTACACCAGATAAAAAGACAAAAGGACAGAGTGGCGTTTAAATGATAACATCCTATCTAAAAAAGAAAATAGAGAATACATAATAGAGATGACAGAAAAATATTTCCTAGAAAATTAAGGGAAAGAAGTATCTTTGCCAGTAGTATGGAGCACATATAAAAGCGTTATAAAATGTCATCTTATTAAACTGGGAACAATCGCAAAAAAAAAACTAGAGGAACCTCACTCTCTGACCTATATCAAAACTATTACAAAATATCTAAAGAAAATAAAATATTACTATCTAAGGAGAAAAATATAGAATTGGTATCAATACAAGATAACTACATGAGCTATTCATTGAAGAAAATCCATTATTTAAAAATGAACTGCTATTACAAGAGTAATAGAGCAAAAAACTAATGAAAAAGATATGTAGGATTAGGACAGAGACAATGCATGACCCCAAAGAAAATAGGTGCTTCATTTAATGTTTACTACAAACAAAGCTAGATAAAGAGCAACCCCTTTCTTTAGAATATCATGTAAATAGGAAAATGCCAAAAGTATCTAAGGAACAGCTAGATGCTCTGAATATCCATATGACACAACGAGAAATAAAAACAGCAATAAATAAATAAAAAATAAATAAAGCACCTGGACCAAACGGATATACAAACAGGTTTTATTAAATATTCTATTGGATCTATTGGCCGAACGTCTCTCCGGAATGCTCAACCAGATAATCACTGATCGCACATTCCCGATAGAAAGGCAGTGAGCAAATATCGTCCCCATTCTGAAACTGGATAAAAACCCAGAAATGTTGTCAAATTATCGCCCCATATCCCTCTTAAATGGAGATGTAAATATATATGCCACTGTCCTTGCTGAGAGGTTGAAGAAAGTCATCCCAGGATTGATACAAAAAGACCAAGTGGGATTTATACCAGGGAGACGTCCTACAAGTGGCCTGATGCGGGTCCTAGACACATGGGACGCGGCACAACATATGAACATCCTTCTGACCCTGTCATTGGACACTAGAAGCATCTGACCCTGTCATTGGACACTAGAAGCATCTTCATAAAAGGAACTTTTGGGGGGCGTGGCCGACACTGATTCAGCTCCTGAGCTGCAAGGACAAAAACCGCAGAAAACGGAGGTATCTAACCATAATGGGAAACCACAAAAAGGCTCACCCTGCTCCCCAGCACTCTGGGAAGACCCCAGCGGGAAAATCGTGTACTGTTACCCGTTTATTCCGGGAATACTCCGACCGCGTGGCGGACCTCGGGGAATCCAATATGGCGCCGGCGGCGGTAAACACTGACTCAGATCCCCCAAGTCCCACAGCGTCAGACACATTGCACATATCGATGGATATCGATATTAAAGACATACTAAGAAACCTACCTTCCAGAGCCGACCTAGCTCAGATGCTAGGGAAATTGGAAACTGCCTTCCAGCAGAAGATGGAAGGCCTCAGCTCAGAAATAACTCAGGTAGGCCGCAGAGTCCAAGACCTGGAGGATGAAAGGGGGGTCACACCAA